GAAGACATCAGCATTGTTTTCCCTTAACTCAGAATTTTCTGCTTCATGTCAGCTTGTGTTACAAAATGAACAGCCTTGAAATGTTGTGTGTATGTGAGTTATTGCATGATGTAAACTGTGCAGTGTGTCAGCTGAATCAGACTGCTGAAAATGTAGAGATCAATAACTTAATTTATTTTTAGGTCTTGTATGCCCCTCACTGTTCTCAATGTTGCTAGTCATCTTTTATCCTGAAAACCTGAAGGTCAGTTTGAAGTCACGATCATATAATAGTTCTTTTTATATCAGCAGCTTTATTGGCCTTGTGGGGATATTGTTACTTATTTCTTAATCTTTTGGGGAACTGAATAGAGTGTGGCCAGATTAAAAAAACATGCAGAGACACTACAAGGTTTATTGCTTCATATGTGACCCCCCCACACACACCTTTTTCACCAATAGCTCTATTTTCAGAAGATTTGTGGCTGTTCAGCATGTTTGCAAAACATATCACAAACTTCCCCAGGTACATGCTTATTATTTCATCAGCCATTTTGGGTATATTTCATGACCAGTTTGGGTATACATGTTTCCTACAGGTGGGTAGATAATGAAATTGTTTTGAACAGTATTATTTGTAAGAAGTTTAAAGATCAGAGAGTTCAACTTCCTGTAAGTCAGTTATTGAGACAAATCATAAACAACAGATACATACTGGGTCCTTCAACCACATGCTATATATATCCCATTAGACTTATGAATTTCAAGGGGATGAATAATTCTCTGGACATTAGTGATCAAGAGCAACAAAACAATTTTTTAAAACAACACAGTAAAGAGACCAGTAATGTACCCTTTTATTACCTGGGACAGTTATTGTTTGTTGACATTGTTAGGTTATGGGTATTTAGGAATTCTCTCTTTTCTTTAAAAACAAGCATAGATACTGACTATTCTAGTCTTCATGCTGTTTACAGCTTTGGAACCACAGATCAGTGGGAACTGGATGTGTAAGAAGCTTTGCAGTAAATCAGTATTTAAACAAAAGATAAACTTGGTTACTATCATGCCTTTGCACACTGCAATTTTAAGGCCAGACGTCACCTTTATGAAATCATAAAAAACGTTAGGGGACAGACAGACAGATATCAAATTTTTGCCCTACTGCTTTCTTTAATAAAAGTCTACTTTTTGTGCCTCTAGGAAGACTTGTCTCTTTCTAACAATCAGTGCCAGGACTCCAACTGAACCTGTCATTGCAAAAGAGTACAGAAGTTATACTGTGCCCCTGAACAGACTGTCCAAAAAGAAAAAAAAAAAAAAAAAGGATAATGGAAAAAAGTAAGGTGAGGCTCCTCTAGAAGTGAGTGACTTTAGCACATCTGGAAATTATAACGAGAAACATTAAGAACCCAAAATTTTTAGTGAAGTGGAGTGGAAATATAAATTTAATTTAGTGACAAATATATGTAGTGGATATAACAATGCCAACTTATCAATAAGGGCTATCTGAAGCTACTTCTGGGCTATTTCTCTGAGTAAAAAATGTTATGCAGAAATAGGCATCCAGATGTTATGCTACTCTGCATTACATAAGGAGTTGTGATCAGTGAAGCTCCAGGTGAAAAACCAGGCAAAGTGATCAGAGAATCTACTTATTCAGGACCACTGAACACTCCTGTTAAATAGTAAGAAAGTACTGAAAGGTTCTTTGCAGTAGAATTCATAATCCAGCTCCTCTTGAAGAGAATAATTTATTTGTATTATTTAAAAGGTAAGATGTTATGGATTTTATGTATATATTTACTATATTCTGTATATATTCTGTACTGAAATCTGATTTTATCCACCTGAATTTCAAAGTTTATATTTTTCACTCAAAGTATAAACCACTGTCCCGCAACATCTTCTGTTCCTTTTGAAATTATTTTCTAAACCTTATTCTTCTGTCTTCTACTAATTTATTCCACAAAAATATTTCTACTAAAATATTTCAATCCTATCTCAATGTTTTTTTGAAGTGTATAAATTCCTCCAAACACAGTGGCCATGACTCTTTTACTTTATTCATTATTGTTCCTCTACCCCTTGAAGGCAGCTCCCTTTTCCACTGTCTTCATGACCTGAATTACCTCTCCAGCTTGTGAATATTATAGAAGTAATACAGCTGTTGTCCTTGGAAAGAACTTGTTGTATCTTGTGATACTGATACTTGGTTTGATATTACTGATGCATGAAAGAGAATCCAGAATGCAGTGATCCAACAGGGAAGATCTCTGATACCTTAGTATGGTGCATAACAGAATCCACGTCCCTGTATTTTGAGTACCACAGTGAGGAGCCACTGTAGTGAAAATGTCAGGTTATAACAGCAGAACCAAATTTCTCAGCAAGACTGAGGAAAGGGAGAAAGATAAACAATAAGGAGTACAAAGGAAGAGATGGATGGATGGATGGATGGATGGATGGATGATGTAATATACATCTGGAAGTAGCCTTGTCATCAAGTCCTGCAATCCCAGATACATACAACATGTTATCTATTGCATTATGACATTTTTCGGGCTCTTTTTAACAACATTTAGAATTTCTGTCCTAACGTTTTATTAGAGGACTGTTTGAGAATGTCACGACTGATTAAGGGTGAACTTTAAACTTACCATGGTTGTTTTATACTCATTTTATTTTTTACTGATCTTGTCCCATAGTTTAAATAGATCATACAGCCCTCTGTATATTTTTGCTGTTGTTTCACAGATTCAAGTGTCAGAGATTGTGCCAGCATGAGCATATCCCTATCTCACCTTACACTTCCACCATATTCTATCTCAACTCTATGCTCAAACCTTCCAAAACCACTTTTGCACTATCTGCATATACAAAATGGATCTATGGCCTAGGAAAAGATTTGCAAAGAAATTTATAGGCAGGCATGCAGTGGAACCTTCAAAGTGCTGACTCTTATGAAACATCCTGAAGTCAGTGGGATTAGAAACATAAACAGGACTAAAACTAGCCACTTTAATTTTCTAAATGTCTATTTCTAATCTAATTCTTAAATAACCAGTTAACTAGATCTTGACCAGTGTAATATTATAGACCTACATTTATTTATACCTCCTAGAAGTTTCTCCCTGTACCTAATGCTAGAGTTTAGGATTCAGCAGCAACTAAAAACTTTGATAAGTGAATGTAATAAGAAAAAAAGCACCAGCTGCAGGGAATTATTTCCAATTATAATGAGTGGTATGTCATCAAAGTTTGCTATGAAAATTGTGCTCTGCGCACAGGTTGAGATCGTTCTAGAAAAGGACATAAACCAATGTCAAATTAAATTGGAAGGCTTTTGCAAAGTATAAAGATTTTACAGAGCACTTCAAATTTAATTTTGTGTTTAGTTGCTATCAATTTTCCTGGAAAGTTTAGCTGATCCAAGCCATTTCCAATATCTAAATTATTTGGAGAATAAGTATATATTTTTTTTTTAATTCCTGCCTCACCCCCCATAACTAGTAAATAGAAACTCAGCACCCTGGCACTAATTAGTCAGTCAGAATTTAATAAAAAAAAAAAAATCTAGCTTACCTCATGCTTACATAACTCATAAAAATTAGTAGTTTTTATATAACTTGACTTTCTGCTATATTAGCTGTGAAAAGATTTCTATGTATAACTGCTATGAATAATTTAAAACATATCAAAATGGATCCAGAAGAGATTAAATCTTTCACAACTGACCAGAGAAGAAAGGGCTATGGTTGCAAATTCAAGTTAGCTATCAACAACTAAATATATGAATGATAAAAATCCAATTACTTTTTAGGCACTAACTGATCTCAAAATAGAACAGATAGAACTTTTTTCTCTATTTCTCTAGGAGGGCATACAATACATTTCTTTATATATCTGTCAAAGGGAGTAGGAGTGTGGACAATATCTGGCACAGCAACAATGTAGAGAAGCTGCAGTCTGGTCTATAGAAGGCAGGTCCACAGTTAGGGCTGGTTTAAGGGGTGGGCTTGTCAGTGCTGGGTTAATGGTCAGACTCAATAGTCTTAAAGGTCTTTTCCAACCTAAAAAATTCTATCATTCCATTATTCTAAGTGAAAAGCTACTCTTGGTAAGGTCTTCCTTATGTAATATCTATCGGCATTCTGATACAAAGCACTTCTAACATCTGTCAGTGTATGGGCATTTAAGGGCCAACTCGCTGCTTACTAACATTGTAAAAGTTATTTGGGATACTATCATCTCTTGATTTTTTTTTCAGCATGTTGCACATTGGCAGCCTGTCCTAGTCAATCTCCATGTGAGACTGTATCACAAATGTAATAATTATACTGAATTTAGCTGAAAAGTTCTGTTGACTTCAGAGAGCACTGAAGTCAAGCACTATTTGTCTTAGTGAAGAAATATGCTACCTTGAATTATTTTCAGTTTTGTTTCAATTTTAAGCCTCATTCACAAGCCTGACAGAATATATCGTACTTCCAGTCCAAAGGTATCTACTTTTCATTTTGACAGCCTTTTTGATGCACAGGAATGGAAAAAACACCCACAAGAAAAAGAATTATGAAAAGCCAAACAACTAGATGATAAATTGCAAGATGTAATTATGATGCTTATACCAGTGGCACAATCACTTACCATTTCTTATCATGTTGTGCCTTGCACTAATCAGCAATTCATAATGCTGAGAAAAATTAAGAATGAAACTAAAATTTATGAATGACAGGAATCACTGAAATTAATGGAATTATTTGAGGCACTTGGTGTATACTTTGTTTTCTTTTCCATTAAAAAATAGAGAGCTGAAAATTTTTGTTTGTTAGCAGCATTGTCTAATGCTGTAAACTACCTTGTGCAAGTGAATTGAAGGTAAATTAATTAACGGCTCAAAGCCTTCAGATTATCTTGGAGATAGTCAAATCATTCACAGAAAGAGTAACAATCTATTGAATAGATTGATAATGAGCTCCACAAAATTGAAAATGAACTAAAATAACGTGTAATTACCTTACCTGGGTAACCTTCTCTGTTACGTTGTGCGTTCGGTCTTTCACCTTAGGTGCAATAATTGCTTTCTCTGAAGAAGGAGGAGATGAAGATTTTTTTTCACTTTTGATATCTGAAAAGTTCAGTGTGAGTTGAGGAATTTTGTTGATTGTACTGTATTTGTTGAGATTTGAATCTGATGTGGATCCCAACAGACTGGACTTGATATGATTGAAAGGCCCTGAAATATCAGAACACACATTTAGTATTTGATAAATGCAGAAAAATAAATTATCATTAATGATTCAATGGGGTATGTTAGGAGGGTAGTTAAAAATATTTTTTTATACTACTTGTTAATAGTAAAAATTATCTAAATTTTAAAAATAACTCTATTACTAATGAGATTCTAATCTAGTACTGCCTATAAATATGACATTTCCTTTAAGTACAGCCCTCAATACTTTTATAACAAAGTACATGGATTGCAAAATGCATGCATCTATCCTTACTTGTTTTCATGTTACTCGAAATGCTGGTGTGCTCTTACTATAATTCTGGCTGAATATAAAGACTATATTTTCATTTGTTTTTAAGAGCAGAAATAGGACACATGATTATATAAGAGTGCCTGGAATTAGTAAAGGCTCTATTATCACGTCCATACCTTGCCTGTGCTCACATGATAGTTCAAAGAAACGGGAAAATTGAGTGGACTCACAAAATAAGTTTCTTCAATTGTCATCACTAACAAAATTTTGAAAACTATAGGGATGCTCATGTAGAATATTAATGGACTATCTATAAACTCCTTATACTATTTTAGTGCATCATAATAGGTAAAAAGAAGTTTGCATACTTCATGAGGTACATATCCTTTATCATTATTCTTTTTATTATTGGACAGAATTCTTTGTAAAAGGAAACAATATAACTGATCAGTATACTTTTTTTTTACTGTTGTCAAAAGGCTGGCCAGGAAGTCAAAAGTATTCATTGCAAGTAAAATTTGCTTTTGAGAATAATACTGGAAAAAAGAACTATAAAGATGTTTAGACAGAGAGAGCCACATCCAGTTAGAGATTTAAGAAAAAATAAAGGTCTTGAAATCAGTAACAATGTACCTAAAGTGTGGGATTGAAGGGCATTTCTCAGATCCACATGAAACCCTTATTGCATCTTAATTCTATTATGGGCAACATTGTGATGCTTATCTCTTCTACTGCTTTTAAGGGGTTTTTTTTTTACTTCCTGTGAGGAAAACAAGAATATGTACGATGAATCAGGAACAGTCAATGGGATAGGATTAGGCCTATGGGTTAATGCAAAGTCAACAGTAGAACAGATCTATATTTGCAATGTGTGAATGAATGAAATTCAAAGTAACCAGCTGCCTAGAAATAGCTGTGGGGAAATGCTTCAGGCTGTGCTGATTTCTTTTTTTTTTTGGTAAAATTCTTTAAATGAGGGCTGTTTTTTCATCACACCTGGCTTTCAATTCTTGCTGAAGAATCAGACTTTGAGGCGTTTTTTCTATCTTTCACATTATCTACATGACTCTATTAAAAAGTAGTGTTTAATGTATATCAGGGCTCATAATCCCAAAAATCCAAGAGGTGACTAATGTGGCTGAAGTGTGCTACATATATATGGTCAGACTGCAGATTTGCAGCTCTACTTCCCTACTTTACCAGTAGTTTCTGAGTATTTAGTAGGTTTAGACATAAGCAGGGTATCAAGTTGGAGTAACTTGTCAGATGAATAAGATTCTTGACACCTTAGGAATTCAAAGGTAAGAGGAAATTAAGGTAAATCCATGATTAGATAGTAGATGAGATTTTATTTTATTAGTAACTTTATGTATGCCTAAATTGCATTGCACTTTTGCTTTCTGGGATTTACATATTTTGTTGCTTCTATTCAAAAGGGGATTATTCTCTCCTTTTCTATCTAATACTCATGCCCTAGAGCATAATATTAGACTTAAGTTCATTGCACATGAGAATAAAACCTTACTTTTTTTCCTGCACCTTCTCTTGCTTTACAAAGTGGCGAAATGTATAATGCACCTTAATGCACTGTATAATGTATAATGTTAATTAACTGAAAGACTGTATTAGCTTAAGTACAGCCCAGGCTGACAGCAATTGTGCTGATACTTGACAGCTAGTGGACCATTGCTATACTCTCATAGCAGGAAGAAGAAAAAGAGGACCATAGCAAATCACAATCACAATTGACACTAATTGGCACCCTGATTGACAGTTTCAACAGAGAGGCCAAGAGTTGAATAAGCAGGCTGAATGACATGCTTCTGCCTACCCCACAAAGGAAAATCTTTCAGATTAAGTCTGATCTCCCTATTTTTATGGTAGGATTCCATTGTCCCTGCTTACACAATGCATTGAGAAATGATTTCACTCTCCTGAGCTACCAATCCATCATCTTTCACCAGCAGTAAATACACTTATAGAAGTTATTGTATAGTATGAAAACTGCATGGTTTTTTTCCCCCAAGATTTTGCCGACATACATTTGAAGCAAATGCAATGATTTTGTAGTCCACAAATCACTTTACAGAATCTAGGTCATGCACTGCATGCAGTTTAGAGAAATTTTACCAGGTACACACACTTTTTGCATCATGCATGAAGTGACAAACCAGTTATCTGAAATAGCTAAAAATATGAAAATTAAACTGAACACTTTAGTAAGTGTTCCCTAGAAATGGAGGATGTCACTTATGAATTATGTTCAAATTGCTTCTAAAAGAAATTGCTCAGTGCTGGTGAAAAGAAACAGTTTTGTAACTGCACTAAATATTTAAACATGGAATTGGCAATGAAGTTCATGCATGCACATTTTAATGCTACAGGAAGCTTGAAACCATACCCCCTGCCATCCAGGAACGTGAAACTAGTTTTAAAGAGACAAAAGAGGAATAAGTGAAGATACTTCCACAAGGGTCCTGATTACCAATTATGTAATTTCTGCAATAGTTAGCTGATAACTAAGCACCTTGTAACAACAGATTGTTTGATAATGTCTCCATACATCCTTTTCATCCAGGTAAAACCCCTGGTAGCTTCAATAGAAGTTTTGCCTGCTCAAGGACAATAGCACTGAGTTAAGCAACTCATATACTCTACCTCCCTCTCCTCCTTTTTTTTGAACTCACAGACAGTTAAATCAAAGGGCCATTTAACTATGCCTTCACTTTTTCCAGTGATTGGTAGTTAGTGCTTCGAGACAATAGTTACGGGAATAACCACATGTTTAACAAATATAATTTAATTAATGCACCTGGCCCTAGAGAGGTCAGCATGAGAATGTTGCATTTGAACATTTCATACAGCAGGCAAAGTAACATGCCAAAAAGTGTGGCTGATTGAAACACTGGAAGGTACAGTCTAGATGTATACTTTACCTTTGACATTGCGACCATTGTCTGGTTTTCAGCATAATAAAAGTGAAGAAAAAGAGAAAAAAAGAAAACTAAAATCTACACCAGAGAAAGCAGAAAATATTGCTTCAGAGTGTGTACAGTTTGAACTGAAATATTGTTGCGCCTCCTTGTTTATGTTACGTAGTCTTTTAGTCAAGATGAAGTCTCTTTGACAATTGAGAGATAATCTGTAAAAGCATTGGGAGTAGATCAACAGGCAGTAGGACTGGCTTTAGCTAACCTGTCTTCACAGTAACATGGTAAAATCCTTTCTTCGTAAGTCTGGCAGTCGTTTGGAAGTCAAAAGTGCCAATTCAAGAGGAAGTCCCATGTAATTAAGTGAAGCTGAGGCACCCACGGCACTGATGCAGACTGGCATGGCTGCGTGGGGTATGGGGCTGTGCAGGTGGCCCAGCACTGACCCCCAGGCCCCATGCCCGTCTAGACTCACAGGAGGAAAAGTTTTTACCATGGCATCAAGCTAAGCAGTGCCCTTCTGAGTAAGTGCTGGAGAAAGGTACTCCTCGATGCTTTCTTCAGTTCTTAGGTGCCTTTCTGCAAGGAAACAGTGGCAAAGCTTTCTGTCCTCACTGGCACACCTGCCCCTGAATCCCCTCATGAGATGAAACTTTTTCTGGGAGAATAATATTATCACTGTTGTTATTATTATTTTAAAGAAGCCACACAGGTGGACAGGTGGATGCCACCCCAGTTCATGTGATTACAATATGACCCACAGGCTGCCCTCCCCTCATGTTATGACCCCTGCCCAGATGCTGTTTGGATGGCTGTGAGGTGGCTCTGGCAGGGAGTGGGGCCTTGCTCCTGGTTCTGCCAGCTGCTGTGACCAGGTTGGCAGCTTTCAGAGGTGCCTTTGGCTCCCATGGACAGTCGCCTGCACTGTGCCAGGTTGACATGCTGAGGTGTCTGTGCCCCAGCCGCCTCGCAGCAGCCCTGCCCCTGAGGAGAGCACATTCAGCCCTGCTCCGGAGAAAGGCCGTAGCCTCCTGCTGAGGGGGCAGCAAAGGTGGTGTCACATCTGCTGCCTCTCTGGCTTTTCCTCAGCCTCCCAAGGACTGGGAACTGTGGGACATCAAGCTGGGCCCTCAGGACCAGGGGTGTGGAAGAATGTTTAGCTCCTCTCAGCCCGATGCCTTTCTGTGCCAGGCATCTGCAGCAGTACCGCAGATTAGGCTGAGTTAGGCCCAAAAGTCTGCTGCTGGTTCAGAAGGCTGCAGGGATCTTACTGAGATCACTTGCTGAAGATAGTAAAATTTCCGAAGAGTCTCTGTGAACCTGTGCAAAACCTGGATTGCTGGTGTTTCAGGTGAGATGGGCTTGGCTGCAGTTTGGGTGGTGAGTGGAAGACACGGTTCCAGCCCTGTTGCTTTTGCTGTCATATAGGCATATTAGAATGGAATTCAATCAAGTACATTCAAATGCATTTAAAATTCTAAACTGTCATTTTTACTGTAACACCTTTTGGCATATAACGGCCACAGTGATGATAATTTTAAAGTGATAGGCAACTAGGTTACATAAATTAATTTAACACATGAAATAATTTATATTCTCAGTTGCATTATCTTAAAATTTGACTGCGGGTAAATTACTATAGTTAGTATTAAGCTAAATAACACTATTATCTTCTTTCAAAATTCTGTTATACTGATTCAATATTATTTGAACTGGAAAAGGTAGGAAACATTGAATCCTAAATTGTATTTTCAGATAGAGTAGTAATTTTTAAATGATTTGGGAAAATTCAGAATTATTAGGACCAATAAACAAAACAAAAATGGAATGAGAAATATAGGAAGCCCTATACTTCCTTAGTTAATAGTTTACAAATTAGAGGACTGGGTAATCACCAAGCATATGAAGTTTAATAAGGGAAAGTGCTGGATTCTGCAACTGGAATGGGGCAACCCCAGATGTTCATATAGACTGGGGAATGAGATGCTGGAAAGCAGTGCCACAGAAAGGGACCTGTGGGTTCTGGTTGATGGCTGGTTGGATTGAGTCAGCAGTGCCCTGGCAGCCAGGAGGGCCAACTATGTCCTTGGGGGCATCAGGTAAAGCATCACCAGCCAGTCAAGGGAGGAGATTGTCCCACTCTGCTCTCCCCTGGTGTGACCTCACCTTGAATATTATGTGCAGTTTTGGGCACTACAATATAAGAAAGATATTAAGGCATTGAACAGCATCCAAGGAATGCAATGAAGGTGCTGAAGGGTCTTGAGTGGAAGTCGTGCGAGGAGCAGCTGAGGCCACTTGGTCTGTTCAGCCTGGAGGAAACACATTGCAGTTACAACTTCCTGGTGAGGGGAAGAGGGGAAGCAGGCACTGATCTCTGTGATGACCAGTGACAAGACCTGAGGGAATGGCCTGAAGTTGTGTCACAAGAGGTTTAGACTGGGTATTATAAAGAGATTCTTCACCCAGAGGATGATTGGGCACTGGAAGAGGCTCCCCAGGGAAGTCGTCACAGCACCAAGGCTGACAGAGTTCAAGAAGCATTTGGATGATACTCTCGGGTACATGGTGTGACTCTTGAGGATGGTCCTGTGCAGGGCCAGGAGTTGGACTTGAGGGTCCTTGTGGTCCCTTCCAGCTCAGTATATTCTAAGTTTCTGTGATTCTGTGACTGTAGTTTACTTTTATTTGTTGTACTTAAGGCTTTACATTCTCCCTGATGAGAATATGCAAGCCCAGAGAAGATGGATGAATCCTGATTGCCTAACTTGCATGGATAATTTTATAGCAATAATAGGGTTTTATTGCTCACAGTCGAGTAAGGCAATCAGGTCTTGCTGGATAAATTTAAACATCTTTTCAGGTGTCCAAAAGAAACAGAAATGAGAAAGGAAGTACTTACATAAGTATATGTAATACAGGAATAGTAACTGGAAGGAATAATTAGTTCTGCTATTCTACAAGTTAAACTGGGTGTCAGAGGAAAAATATAAAAGTATTCCTGATATGGGCCTCCCATAAGGCAGGAGAACCAAAAGGGATTTTACACTTGTGGTCAAAGAATAGCAGAAAAATGAGCCATCATTGAAAATGAAAATTCATTTTCCTGCTAATTTATGAATCTGTACACAGTCTTCCTTTATACATGTTTTTGAAATCTTAAAATATTCCCCATACATTCCTTGTCATCTAGCTTGAATAAAAAGGTGTGCAATTCAAGTCATTACACCCTCAGTAGCTGTGAAAGCACTGTATACCTGACACTTTTCTTTGAAAGCGACTTTTCAAGGGACCTCTCAATTCACTGGGCTTTCAAATCTCTCTTTGCTAAGCCCTTTCTCAAGTTTCTCAAACTCCCTGTCTTCAAGAAGAAATCATGGACTGCACTCCATGGACTTAGGAGAGACAGTAGAAAAAGAAGACGAGGAAACACCTTAGTAACTTTTGCTGGTTGCAAGCATATACTAGCACAAGGATAATATCACACTTCAATGAATTTTACACTAAGCATTTCCCTATTTCACTAAATATTTCACTTTGTTGCACAAAGCATTTCAATGGAGTTGCTGAGGATATTTTCTCCAGCGTAAAGAAAAAGCATGTCTTGGTGGTAGACCAGTGAATATACGATGTACACATTACAGATTTAAGAAAAATAAACTGATCAGTCTCTGAAGGATTTCTTACAGTCAAAGGCAATCTAATATTTGTGAGTATAAGACAGAATGGTACATGCAATTATAAGCTGATCACTTGATTTCCCCCTCTCCCCCTCCAAATACTAATATTAGCTTTAGGAATGTTGGGCCCAAATTTGCTATATTCCTATAAAGAAGAGCAAACCCATAATTCCATTAGCCTCCTTAGAAATAAAAAACAATATTTAGCACAAATAAACCTGGCATATTTGGGCCCTCAATATTTTCAGTGCACCTTTGAATGTAAACAACTGATATTTTTTTTTACAGTGATGATTATTACTATGAAAAATTGAAATAATTCCTTTTTTAGTACATCAGAGAATAATGACTGAATTTTTACCATACCTTCACTTGCGTGACGGTCCCTAAAAATGTTCTTGGGATGGACAGTAAAGCCTTCTATGTCATGTACTGAAGATGCTCTCCGTATACTACAAATGCTTTCCTTTGATCTGGAGTGGGTTAGTGGATTGCTTGTCTGTATCATGTCAGGGTAAAGTCTGTCCCATTGCTGTTTAGGTGATGAATGGTCAAGAGGTCCTGATATATTAACCAAAGGTGAACATTTACTGGGTTGAATCAGTGCTTTTGTATCATCCACTTCTGAAGGACTACAGCTTTCTTTTGTAGGTGATTTAAAGTGCTTCATTGCCACTGAGTCATCACTGTGCTTAGAAGAATCAATTATCACTGCATCAGGGTCTTCTTGTGGCAAAGACTGCTTTCTGTATGTCAAAAGTCTCAATCCAGGTAACCGGAACCCAAAAAGTCTGCCTACATGTAAATATATAAGAAAGAAGAAAATATTAGCCATTAGTGCCTTGTCATGAAAATCTGCTTTTTTCACTTACAATGATAATAGCTATAAATATTTGACCTATTCTTACTAAATTACAATGTTTAGTAATAGAACATGTAAATATGAAAACATAATATACCTCCAAGCTTGTTATAGTTGTGATGTTAAAGGATTTCATAATTCTGTCAGTACTAAGTTTCTGAGCTTGTAACAAGGACAGCAGCATTAATTCTACAGCTATTTTAAAAGATATAAGGTTATCTGTTCGGATGGTCATTTCTAAATTAAAAATCTATGTGTCTATAAAAGACCACTAGAACATGTCGAACTACTTTGGTTGGTAGCTGTTATCCTGAAATAGATATTTGTGGATTCTATTATTAGTGGAACTCCATGTGCTTTGAAGTGTACTGCTGATATATGGATTTATTTGCTGCAAATTAAACAGGAAGATATGAGTGCTAATAGTTATGGAAAGAAAATAAGTTGTGTATCAGTTTTGCCAAAATCCTTTCCAATACTTGCATCTTACAATTAGATGAGACAATTTTAATGAATTTAAACTGAAAAGGAAAGGCACAGAGAGGAAGAAAAAGGAGCAACACAGCTCTCAGGCCTCAGTTGCATCTACACAATGCAGTTATCATTTACATTTGAATGGGTTGGGCTGAGTTGGACTTCGATGCTGAATGGCAGGCTAGGCGGTTCTGAGGGTCTGGAAAACTAACAACTTGGTGTAATGGTAAGAAATATCAGTAGCTGAGAGGAAGAGTAAAATATTGCGCATATAAAAATTATACATAAGAAGAACTGTAAAATCTACAGACTACCCTTCTTAAAAAACCCAAATAACAAATATTTTAAGATTTTGTTTAAAACAATTCACAGATGGAGGCACAGGGACTTTAGATGTACAGATAACATGTTAAACAGTTTAGAAAAAGGAATGGTGAAAAACTTTAACAAAATAATTGAAATAATTGAAATGGTCAGATATTATTGAGTAAACAGCTTGACTTATTTAATAGCTTCTTGTCTCTAATCACTTTGCTACATAAGTACTTTAAACAGTGAATCAATAGTTAATGATTTCTTGGAGGACATCTCAAAATATCTTGTTATTCTCTATTACTGGCATAAGAAATTCTGTTTGGGATAAGATTTCCTTTTTTTTTTTTTCTTTTAATTTGCAATATTTGTAGCTATCCAACATTTATAAATATTTAGCACTGAAATGTATCACTCCATACTGAAATATTTTAAAATAGTCTGTCTTTGATGCCTATGACTGACAGTAATTGTGTAGAGCAACTGATGACATAGCTTAATCATTCAATGCTTTAAAATGAGTGCCCTATATATTTAGCATTGAATATTGAATTGTATTTTGAATTCAAAATATATGAAGGTGAGAGTACCCTACTCTTCTTAAAGGAAAACCTGCCTAAGAGTAAAGTTGCTATACTAGATGGCACCACAGGTCCATTTAGCACATTGTTGGACCCCTGATATTTCCAGTAATGGATATGCGAAGAAAGAGATTAAGGACCATGATATTTTGTTATTTCTCTCAGTAAATTTACTCAGTTTCTGGATACCTGAATTTCTGAAATTTTCTGAGCTAGAGATTGTATTCAAACCACAAATTGAATGTTTGGTGTACCTTTCTTCCAGGAATTTGTCTATGTTTTTAAAAGATGATCTGCAAAGCATCCTATAGGAAACAATTCTGTAATTTAAGCATATATCTGTGAAAAAGTACTTCCCTTTACTAGCTATGTAATTATATAAGTACTTCCCCTAACTTGTGTCCTTGGAGAGGGTGCTATGAAAAATAGCTAATAACTTCTTTTTTATAGTCTAAATAATCTTTACAGTTTTTCATACATCTGCTTCATTCTTCTTTGTATATCTCTTTTGCAAGCTGAAGAATGCTAGTGTGACTGCATTGTGTAGCTCTCATCATCCTTTTCACTCTTCTCAGTTACTTTTTATTTCTAATGTAACAATTTTTAACAATGGCCTGAGCTATTCCCAGATTTAGAGATCAATGCAGTGACATAATGGCTTTTTGTTTTGATCTTAGTTCCCTTCCTTACAATTGCCAATATTTCATTGCCTTTGTGAGTTATTTTCCTAGCTGTGCTAATGTAAGATATTTTTACAGCAGCTGAAAGATTTCTTTATTGACTGGTAATAGATAATTTAGTCTCTATTATGTCTGTAAAAATTTTCATTTGCTGTTTTAACACTTGGCCCCTCAGTATCCTACCATAAGTCTGTGAATCTTGTCTAATAGTCTGAACAACTCTGTGACATATACAAACATTCTGACCTCATTGTTTGCACCTTTTTTATCCAAGGATTTGAAAATGTATTATAAAATAAAGGACCTATCAGAGTCTACTGATAACATCTCAGTATTTAGAAATCTGATGATTATTTTCGTCTTTTTTTCCCTACTTTAAAGTATGGATCCATGTAATCATCTTTCTTTTTTTTTTTCCTTGACAATTTTTGGAAAAGGTTGTTGAATTCCAATTGGAATTCCACTGAATCTATTACTGTAATGCATATACACACACAACAGTAAAATAGACAGAAAACTCTATTATACAAACCAGAGTCATGCATGTTTAAAATAACAACTAGAGATGCCAATTTTCAGTCTACACAGTGATATTCAGCAGAGTGCACCTTGGAAATGTGTGTATTTCTTCTAACTTACTAAGTATACTTGTATAAATGGCTTGCAGTTGAAATTAGTGAAGTATGTAAAGAATTATTTTATTATTTTAAATAATGTGTAGAATTGAGCTGTAAAGCAGCTCATATATAAATATTGAAAGCTTATTGCATCCAAAGTGAAACTAATCTTTTGAAAGATTAACTTTTTTTTAAAAAAATCTCTTTTTAATCAATTACATTGAAAGTCTTAAAAATACCATTCATAAGGGTTTTTGGCATTTGACACTGCTAAAGATTTTTTGTTGGCACCCTATTTTAGTCATATTCATGGTGGTGCAGATGGTCTTTTCTGCCTCACCAAGTTAATATGACCATGTTATACTGCATTACTGATTTAGCTGTCTAACTGCAGTTCATCTGGAAAGAATACTCAGTAAGAATTTTGCTTCTTGTTAAGACTTCTGGGCATGAAATAGAAAACTTAAACGAGTAGCTTTTTGCTATTCTTCTATAAACTGTAATAAACCTTGTAGTTAAAACTTTATTTTGTGTGTGTGTGTGTGTGTGTGTGTGTGTGTGTGTGTGTTTTGGTTTCGGTTTTGGTTTTTAAATAGAATATTCTTAAGGTGTATTGCTATTCTTCTTCAGTGCACAGTTAATGAGCTACATGATGCGTTGGACATTCACCTCTCCTGCAGCTAAAGTTATCAGGAGGCCCATTCACAATTTGTGTAGTTAGCATTACTGAGCTGAGAAAAGAAATGTGATAATACAATTTGTCATAAAGCAAAATTCATGGCTCCAGGCACCCTGTCCTAGTATAGACTAAAAGTGTTAGTGAAAGCTTTCCTGGCATACTGTGTATGAGGTAAAATCTTTTGTTTGATGATGGACAGCCCCTGATTTGTGTAGGTATGATGTCAGAAGCAGATTTATCATGGCTTACAGTACTAAAACATGTTTGAGATGCAACCATCTATTTACTATAAATATACAGATAATGTTACATTTAAATGCCTATGTTTTATTGAAGACTAGATTGCCAAGTTCTTAGTGCTGAGTCAGAGATTTGTATGATTGTGGCTTGGTAAGAGCAGTTGAGGAAAGCAGTTGAGTCTGAGTCATGATTCCAGACTGCCATTCCACCTCCTCCTTTCAAACCTTGCTTTAGTGAATAAGTAATTTGCAAATGAGTTAATCTGTTCATTACATTTGTTCTCTGTGCCATTTCAGCTAACTGTTAGAATTTCTAAACAGTGGAACTCAGTCCAAAAATACACTGTAGATAAGAAAAAACTCCTCTAAACTGTTTGCAGATGGAACTATGTCCAAAGTCCCAAAATCAAATGTCCTTCTGAAAAAGCCCTTTTTAATTCTGTCTCATGTTTTGGGAGATCAAAGGAGAAAATATTTAGAATGCACAGAAATAAAATGGTTGGGTTAATAGTATTAAGAAAAAAATGCAGGGAACCCCCCCCATTTCGATAATAAAATAGCCTTGTATTTCCACAAGTATTGAAATGGGAAATGTTAACATTATTGGGAAATTTCAATTCTTAAACACTAAATTCCACCATATAGAATTTTGTGGTAGGGGAACAAAAAAAGGAAGGATGAAAATTGCTTCCAAAAAGAACATATCAACAGCTGTAATCATAGTTGCAAATTTCCTGCTCCATCAATACAAAATGGGGTATTACAGCAAAATCTTATCTGAAAAAGGATTTCTTTAGTAACCCAATACATTTGCATGGCAAATAAAAAGGAAGGGAAATTGTAATTGGCCTGAATATTGACTTGATACAGTGAAGGTATTTCTCAAACTCCTAGTAATGAAAATGTATACGTAGATACAATACACATTGGTAAAGTCAGAGAAATGCCTGCAACTGAGAGAGTTTTACTTTCACTACAATTTCTTCAGCGGTCTCTGGACAGCGGTAGGTGCTGTGTGCTGTCCCAAAGTCTGTTTAGCCCATGCCAATGCACATGGGATTCCTGCAATACTATCCCAAACCTCGCAGAGGGGTAGCCTTAAGACACAGCAGCTGGGAAGTCATGATGGCTCCTCAAAGAATTGCCCAGCCAGTTTTTGAAGCATCTCTAGTAGCACTGATATTTTCAAGCTGATGCAGAGAAATAATTACCCAGAGACCAAAATTTGAAACTCTGGCCTCAGGCTCCCCAGCTGGGAGCTACATTTAGTCTATTTATCTCAACCTTTTTTAGATTTAGACTTTCCAAAATCAAATCAAAAGAGCTCAGTTGCACAAAGAGTTTACACTAGTTAGGTGTAGAAACTGTTAAAACTTTTTTCCTGGTGTGACGTATCACTTCTCCTAGGTTGAGAACTAAACCACACTGAGCTGCTCATGTTCCAGTACAACCTGTTAACTGTGGTAGAGTGTTGAAGAAAATCGAGTCTTGGATATCAAGTTTTATCATGGTGATTGACTGGCCTGGCTACAATATGAAACATATGTTACTTTTTGAATGTATAAGATTAGGGAATACAACATATCCACAAAGAACAAACTATTCTAAACAGAGATTTCTTTGACGAGGGCAGGTAAGATAGGTCAGTTATGGTAGATCACCCTCCAGAGCATGGGCTAATTCAACAACACCTTTGTCCAGAAACTTCCCCAAATAATCAGCAAAATGACTTTCACAAAAGTAACACAAGTCAGCTTTTTGATGAAAGATTTTCTCATAATTAAATATCTAGTGCCATGGAATTTCAGGATCAAGGTTATCAGAAATACAGACACAGAAAACTATTGAGTTGCTGCTCACAGGCTTATAAATACCATCTAATAACTCACGTAACAGACTAAAGGAAACAATTGCTTTTGAGAAATGGAATTCCTTACCACTGACTAAAATAGCAGCAAATACTTGAATGTACTCTATGCAAACATTGAGGCATGTGATGATGCCTTATTTTCTGGCTGGGCACAGCGGGCCATAGGACAGAGAATTACAGCAAGAGCCAATTATGGTTTTTTTTCTGTTCTTTTCCCCAAAAATGTAGGGAAGCATACATAATAGGATAATTTTCTTACCCTGCTCATTAAAAAGTCTTAATTTATTTTCATGAAGGAAAAGGAAGGCATATGCAATTATTAACTTTAGCAGCTTGAACTCATAATTTTCAGACACTGCATACATGACTTTTTTTTTTTTTTTAATCCTCTCATTTAATTTTTGCACTACTTCTTTTAGTTTTCTCTAAAATTTAAGATTGCACATGAGTATTACCAGTATTAGCACCAGCAATCTTTGTTATGTTCCCTTGTAAGTGAGAGAGTTTTATCTGAGTGCTGGTGGTGTCTACATATAGGACTCTGTTAGAGGATGAAAGGAAGCAAATGAAGACTCTGGCTACTTGTAGGGCTATGCCATGTGTGGCTGACCAGTGAAATGAGTCTGAAAAATGCTACCACGGTCTCCCTGAAAAGACAGAATGATTATATCCTTGAATGTTAATGTGAATCAGTACACTTGCATGGTTTTTTTCCCCACTTGTCAATAGAGATATTTTATTAGATCTTATTCATTATATTCAAATCATAGGAGTTGCAATGTTTCTGGAAAAAAGCCAGGGGAAAAAAACAACTTTTGTCCTCTCAGAAAGACATTTTACTTCTTGAATTTCTATTTCTTACACATAATTAGAAGTAGAAAAGAAGAAAAAAGTAAATAACTGCAATGAAATAGAATAGAAAGCATTGCAACAAATAGTAAACATAAAGAATCTGTCACCTAGAAATTTGCTATCTTGGTGAGGATATGGTGGGTTTTTTGGTAGCTCAATAAAGTTCTCAAACCTTCACCACCTTGGTTGCCAGACTTTATAAGATAAAAAATACCATTTTTGTCTGAGACAGAAAGACTGAAGATGGTGTCTTTATGTTTTAACACCGAATTCATACACCACTATCAAATTTTGTGGTTTGTGTTTTGTCTCGTATATTGATTGAAGGTTTTTTTATGCTCTGCATATGGCAACTTTCAGTGATAATAAGATGAAAAGTATCATTACATTTGGATTTTATATGTCATATAATTATACTACATTTAATAGTTTAGCTGTTATATCTATAGTTTTGCAGAAATAAATATTCAGAGTGAGAGCAAGAGCCATATTATGACTTGTACTCTTCTAGATATATATAAAATGTAATGAGATCTTGAAATAATAGAACCAGAAAAAAGCAATAAAAGGACTTCAGTAGATAGAATTTTAGAAGATAGATTTACCTGAAGAAGAGCCACTTGAAAGGTTGTTACCATCTGAAATACAATTAAACTAAATTTACAAAAAGCTTTAGCTTGAAACAGATTCAAAAAATAAACAGACTATTAAGAAAAGTAGGTAGAATATCAAATTTCCACACATTCTAAAAGTAAATTCAGGTCGCTTGAATTCATATACAATATATTTAATATGCTGAAGAATTGTTCTGAAATTACATTGACTTTTTATTTGGAAAATCTGAGAACTATTCAGTTATGAGGTATTTTGATAATTACTAAAAGTTTTTTCACACAGATCAATATGTGTTTTCAATCACCAAGTGTTTTCAATCACAAAGTTGGCTAACGTTTCAGAAAGAAAACTCATGGATGAACATGCTACTCCCATTAAATGGAACTTCTAATTAGTGATACATTTTTTGCTAGGCAATGCCAATTTTGTTTGGATGAGACTTATTTAAAAGTTGAAGAATTCATAATTTCTTTAGGAAGAATAAGCTTTATTCACTGACATTTGTTTAGAATATGGCATTAATTTCATATTTCTGACAGGGCTCATTTATTTAACGTCTTCACAGTGAGAACTCCCCAGATTATGGGTCCTTGCCAGTTGCTTTCAGGTCTTTGAAATGCCCAGCTTGCCTGGGTGCTTTGAATAGTCAAGTAATAATGATAGGATTCTATGCCTGAGAAATAAGACATGGTGGTGACAAATTCTCTTACTTTTATCTAACAATCTGTTTGATTATCTTAAAACAATATATATTCCATGTTGAATAATATAACCCCCTCCACACACACATTTCTGGTGACCAGTGTCCACTGAAAGTTTCTGAAATCCACAGGATTTTTTTTTCTGCTTTCTGGTAGACTCAACCCTGATAGTTTTGATTTTTTGCTCTTCAAGGTCAAAATATTTTAGCAAGTGCACAGATGTGTTAAGTTTTCTGTGCTAATTCTTATTATAAATAATAGAGAGACATCTCTCTTCTATCAGACAATGAAGCAAAATTCACTACCTTTATACTTTCCCGAGGGTATGTATTATACTGTGGGATGACTTAGCAAAATCATTATCCTAGCCTTCAAGTTACCTCACAGAAACCTCTGTTTTAAATGTCCTGAAAGCAATAGATAGATAGGAGACTGTTAAAAAATAATAAAAATTTGGAACTGGAAGACCTGTCTGGTAGGCATAAGTCACCTCCACTGAAAGCTACTGAAAGCTGTGTCGTTCCCTCTTTTTTGTTTGCAATCTCTTTAAGTAGAGATTGTCTTTTTTACTGAAAGTTTTCACAAGATATAGCATGACAGTTGTGACTGATGCTGGGTGAGGCAGTTAGGTGTTGTGGAGCACTGAAGGTGATAGGAGTAGAGGTTCTTCTTCTTTTACTGGTGATTGGTGTTTGGCCATATTCCTTTGCTAAGAGGTAACACTGTTCCAGTTTAGCTAACATTTACTGTAATTTACCTTGGAGACAAATACACATAATTGACACTGGAGTTGTCAGAACTATGCAGCTGATTGGCTAGATAGAAACCTTTGTCCTCATGGACACAATTTTTCTTGACTAGCCCTCACTTGAGATGAGTTTGTTCCCAGTGGTGCAGCTAAAAATAAGACCTGGACAAATTTCTCATTATATTTTGGACAAAGTCAGGGGGTTACTACTACTTATATATACCATGTTCTATGAGGCAAAATTTAATGCATCAAACAGTATTCAGTATTTCATGACAATGCTGTTGTCCTAATATTTTTAGAAAAAAAATTATATGCTTACTTATATAGCAAAGTGCTCTGCACAGGGAAAAGAAAATACCAATTTTTTTGAGCTAGATCTTTGAAAGGAAAGGCGTGACTTAAATTTCAGTTGTGCTTTTTTTGTTTGTAACATCAGCATGTGCAGTGATTTCTGCTTCTGAGATGTAACTCTGTTGCTATGACCAGGAGAGAGGCAAACTTGCTGAAAAGTAAGCACCTCGAAGAAGGTGCTTGAGAGGTTTTCTGATTACGGTTTTAGCCTCTTCATTTTATTTGAACTTTTTCCAAAAAGTACCCATTTATTGAATGTGTAACATCCTCTCATTTCCTTTACAGGAAGAAACACAAGAAATAATTCCAGGGTGTCTTTAACAGGCTTATAGATTCTGAAGTGATAAAATGATAAGACAATCCTCAAATATCCCTCTTCAGCAGAATGCAATTATACATTTAATCAAATAACTTTCTGGGCTTTTCCCCATGAGGTAATGAATACTGTGTTTGGGAACCTGTATTAGCCTATACGCTAGTACTTCTAGTATGTCACTAGTTCTCTAAATTGCTGTAAAACTTTGTCACAAAATAGTGGAGTGGATGAATATACCAGATTCAAATGTTTGTTAGATTTTGAAATTGGAGACTTAGGGTCCCTTTCCTCAACAGGTGATTTAAAAGCCATATTTACATACAGAAGTTATAGCTTAACAGTTTATAATATAAACTGTTGTTTAGTGAAATCTGTACAACACATTGAATTATTCTGGTTAACAACTGTTACAAATAAACAAATGTAAATAATAATTTATTAGTGTTCACAGAGGATTTTTGCTAAGGTGGTATAAAGTCACATCTCTCTTCATTGTAGAAAGTCTACTAAAAGCTCTTTTTTTTCTTTTACGGGGAGTCTAAAGGGAAGAAGTTATCTTTTACTAAAAGTAACTTGCTAAATATACATTATTTATGCACTCTTTCAGTTAGAGTTCAAAGTTTTATATGATTTTGGCAAATGGTTAGGTTCATGAAAATTTATGGGAATTTTTTTTATTGTTATAGTGACAATCAAGCAAACTTTGCTGCCTTATCAGATGTAAGACAGAACAGTTCATAAGAAATTTTACAGGTTAATAAAATCCATTTTTAGGGCTTATGTAGCTCAAAACTATCAATACTAACACTTCAATATGCTACACAAATACCCTTTCACTTACAAAGCAGGTATTTATGTCTTCAAGCATTTCACAGATCAAGTGAGGTGAGGTGAAGTTATTAAGTGTTTTTATCTTTGGGTATATTTGTTAATTTCAGGAATTACAAAGCATTTATAGTTTTTAGAACATTACATGATCTAACAAAAGGCAATGCAGAAAGGAAACAAACTTATTAGAAAAGATGTAAGAATGAGTAGAATTCTCATATCTGGAAATGAAACAAAATTTAGAAAGATTGGATGATGAATGGACTTCTATAGCAGAAATCAGGTTTTTTTAAGTCTCACTTTAACTGCACATTGTGCAAATGTATTCTCACTGGAGGCTGTTACCCAGTCCTGGAATGAGTACGTATAGAAGACACTTCCACATCTCTCTGAATATAAGGATGGGACAAATGTACTATTAAATAAATTTGATTAGAAGTTTATACAAAAAGATATGACAAATGTTTTTACCCCCAAAAGGAAAGAGCTATATATGAGCGGAGGCTTCATTTGTTTTATTAATGAACTTGCATATATTGCAAAATAGAACTGTGGCAAACTACAAAAGCAATGAAAGGGAAAAGAGTGAAAAACCAATTGTCTGTGATTTAGTAGTTCTTTACAGACTTAGTGCATGCTTCTATCTTCCAAAATTTCTCTACTTGATTAAACACTGTTCTGACTGCCATTGAGAACTGCTGATAAATTCTTGCAAGGAAGAATAAAGGGAAGAGAAGGATCAGCTAAAACAACTTTTACACTGCTGTTGTGAAACCACTATCTTCACTTTTCACACAACTGCCTATCCATCCTCTTGCTGCGTATAAGATAGGAGCTCTTGAGTACCAGACTAGGAAGAGTTCTATTTATACTCAAATGTGGTCATCAAAATCCTGACAACATACCTTTTTTTTAATAGACTGCCAAGCCAAATGCTGAATCAGAACCTAACTGTGTTAGCCATCATCATGGCATGAAACAAAAGTCAGAATCCTTGTCCTAGAGAGCTTACAAAAGCCCTTTAAAATATCAGTGATCAGCTGACAGATTTTTTATTTTCTGCCTATTCAGAGCTAAATGCAGTTTCTAAGCTCAATCTAGCAAGTATCAGTTGCCTTCCATAAGTATTTAATTTTTTCAGAGGGCCCTTTAACAGACTGGAATCCCTCTTTTTTCCACAGCATAAAGTGCTTTTTTCTTACTTTGTATTAGAGCCCTGTGGTAAGCAGTAATGTTCAAAACTGTTGGCTTCAACGTGTGGGATAGATGCTTATAGAAAAAAGGAAAGGTTTTTCAAAGCTACACTTGATACTTTTTATATACACTCTTGATAAATCAATTAGAGGAAGAATCGTAGTATGGAAGAATTATCTTGTTTTCTAGGGTCAGGAAAATAACTGCAATCTATTTGTTTCCTAATCACTTTTAGTTCTCTCCTGCAACCTGACTCAGTCATTTTTATTTGCTCTCATGTCGAAAAGGCATTCTAATATAAGGAAACTCAGTTTAAGAAATCTCTCATGATGTGTGCTTCTGGGTAGTAGATGTTAATGTAATCTGAAATCTTTTGTCTTTTGTCATTAGCCATTGCTTATCTTGGCTGTTTGTCAGAGATGTATTGCACTTGTTATGTGTCTGGTTCCCTCTCTATTTATATTCTTTAAATTGGTTGCTGGCTTTGAAGGAATTTTTTTTCTTTGTTGACTTTTTTTTTTTTTCTGAACCAATACTCATTACTGTTCATTTTGTGTGATCCAGTGAAAAGACATCACCTGCTTTACCTGTTCTACATAGAGTAAGATAATAAAAAACTAACTCCCTCCTGAGTGATCTGCCATTTGCCTTTCTTATCCTGGGAACATGAGTTAAAAATAAGTGTTTTTACTGGTAAACCATCCACCTTTTTTGCCTTCTTTTCTAGCTTATTGGCCTCTCTCTTACTTTTCTAGATTTCAAGCTTTTATTTGTTTGTTTTAATTTAAAACCATCATTAGACTGTACACAATATCTAGCAGATATTTCTGGATGTTTTGCATAGTTTGGCCTCTTTCTTGAGAAATGTCCCTGCCAGGAGGAATTTTTGGCTATGTAGCTTATTTTGTATCACCATTCTTCCCATCCTGCCCACATAACAGTCTGCTCTGAAACCATAAGCAACTAGGTAGAAATAGGAGCAGCCACGTGCCTGCTCTAGTTTCTGCCAGTTTCTCACATCTGGCTGTCCCTACTAGCAGGAAAATGGTTTAAGTCACCTTTCTTTGCCTCCTTTTGAACCTTGATGTTTCTCTATTACATACTGAACTTGGAGGCCCACTATTCATTTTTCAAGAACTTTTAGCAAGGAAATCCCTGAGGTATGTCAGGTGTAAATACTATAAAACAAGAAAAGGATGTTTTGACAAAGTGGAGTTTTTTTCGTGTTCCCTCTTTAGCTTTTCACTTTAAAATACAGCAAGTGATAATGCTTGAAAATGTACAGTGATATGTCACAGCAGAACAAAATGACATGAGGTTTTGCTTTTTTTCCTCTCAACTAGTATTTTACCTTCTATTTTGTTAATAAATCTACATTAAGCGTGAACAAGACGAACAATTTTATTTATGTTATAAAATTACTTTTTAAATCGAGGAAGTAAGATGTTCCAAATTCATAGAATCATGGCATACTAAAATAAAAACAGAATATAAGTAGGGTTTACTTCATGCATTTTTAAAAAATTTTTCTTCTGATGCAATTTCATTATTTTTCATGATACCCCTTAATGGGATATTAATCATATCATTACTAGAAAAAGTGTTTTCTTGATATCTCCAGAAAACGCCAATTTAAAAAATAATAATAAAAAAGGAAGTATAAAAGCACAATATTTTAAATATGCATCCTAAAGAATATTTTAAAAGGTTTTTTTAAAAAAATGTGATATTTGTTTGCAGACTGCAAGTTTCCAGTAATGGGAATTTTCTTTGCCACAGTTTAATATCAACTGTCATTGTGGGGTTATTCAGGTACTGTGTAGTGCTTACATCAGGAATTTTCCCCTTGCTTCTCACAGTGAAGATCGTACCAGTCTTTGTTTCCTATCTAGAGAAAGCTGAAGTGTTGATTTAACAACTGAAATACTCAGATTCCAGGTCCCTTTATCGTACTAGCATTAAAGATTATCTCACTGTGAAAAGGTATTTTCCAGCTGGTGCTGAGCCAGCCGGGGGTAAGTGTTAATGCTCACTATTAGAGCATGCTATGCTTTACTAAGAGCTTGTACAAATGGGATGAGTTCTGGGAAATCTTGTAGTAAGAGCAGATTATGTGAGTGCAGATGCAAAGCAGAAGGATCATGTGCTGTTGCTGCACAGAGTGAAGGTCAGCAAAAGAACACACATTCTGCAGATAGTGGGACAGAAAGCTGCACAAGCTGTACAAGAAGTGGAATTTTATGTTAAGTATTCTAATTTTGACAATACTTTCATTCCAGAGCGGAATGAAAACAAAAGCATTTCCTATATATTCTTATAGTCAATCTAAATACTTCAATGTGATAAAACTGGGAACTTGTTTTTTTTAAGGTTTTATATTTTCTTGTCTAATTTAGTCACATTTCACCAACTGTTAACCGAACATCACCACTGTTTTTTACTGGGAAAGTAAAATAGTAATATTCAATTTTGAGTAGGCTAAGATGAAATATTTGGGCTATATAAAATGCTTTTTATCAGTTTTCCATTCATAATTGACATTTGTCAAGAGTAATGCACTTATCTGAAATGTTTCAGCTTGAATGAATTGGTATGTCCTAGCACTACTCACAAGATCCATGCTGTTAGTACTACAAAGGATCGGATAGATTATTTTACCAACCTCTTGCCATAGGTTTGCTACATTTAACTTAGTGTTTTGGATACTGTTTGAAGTGAGTCAGTCAATAAAACTGCATCCTTTGGTAATATTTTTGTCCATGTTAATTACTTTCCCAGATAAGAGTAGAGGTAAGCAGAGAACTTTTAATAAGTAACTTACGATTTACAAGTTTAGATGGTAATATAGGCTTGGACTTCTCTGGAGATGCCACATTCTCTTCATCTGTTACGTACTCAAAGTTAATAATAAACATCATTGCTACTCCTTCTTGATTTTTCACTGGAATTATGTGGGTGTTGCAAATGAAGGTAGATCCTGCAGATGGATTAAAAGAAAAAAAAAAGGAAGAAATACATAAATGAAAGGAAACTTCATTTTTTTTTCACTGCATTAATTCTATTTGCACCAAAAGACAGTGAAGAATATTTCTTTGAATTTAACAATTGAGCATCAAACATAATATTCTTTAATTTTAAACAAGAATGTTTTCATACAAAGAAATACCACTGTTGATAATTTATTGAAGCCTAATCTTTTCTAAAATATTTCTCCTTTGAAATGTCAATTTTACTTTTTGGGTTTTTGTTCACTGGAAGCACCTGTATAGACAGACTTCAATATGGAGACATTTAGCACCAAAAGTAGCAATCTGAACACTGTTCCAAACACAATACTTGTGAAGAAAGCAAAACCTGATTCTTCTAAATGTCAAACGTTTTTCAAGCCTTTGGTTCTATTACACAAGATGAGTCATGCATTAAGTATTTATGGATGTAAATAAACCACTCTTCTTATTTTAGCTCTCAATCTTTTGGGGGCTGTAAAATGTTAGGGTTTGTGTTAAAAATGATATTTTCTTATCCGATCCTATGGGGTTTTACACTCCATCATAAAATTCTTCTGGACTGCGCTAATAATTTTCAATAACATTCAGTAGTGTTTGATTTAACTGTTATACACACTTTTAGGTATGAATTTAAGAATACCCTAGTTTTCATATATATGGAGCATACTCAGCTTATACTGAAACTAACAGTGAAATTTTTCAACACCTCTGGTGCTCAGGGTGTTCTTGTGTAAAAGCCTAATTACAAATTTAAAGGATTCTTTGTGTTAATTCTTCCACTATAACTTCAGGAGTTTCATTTGACAAGGTCATTAGTTTTGATTTAATTCCTTCTATTAATGTTACAGAACATAGTGGTTCCAAAACCAATGTTATTGCTGTAAGCAATACAATATGTGCTAAGAGCTTCATGCAAACACAACTGTGAGATGGTGTCTTTCCATGAGAACTAGGCACAAGTTAAGTGTACATCATCTGCAGTTCATGTACTCAAATGCAGTAATCACTGAAACTTGACAGGCTGTGCAGTTTGACAAAAACAGACCCTGATCTGGGTTGCACAGCAATAAGGAGAATAAGGAGAATAAGGAGGGTAAGGAGAGAGTTAGGAAGATTTACATCACTATAACTAAGACCAGATTCTGACTCCTTATATTTAATGTAGTACTTGCTATAATGTGGTATATGTGGCAATTAGAGTTATGTATAAAATTGACATGCTGGCCTTTCAAGTTTTGCAGCTGTACCTTCCATCCATTTAATAAAACAGTTAAGCTGTGGCACTTGCCACTGTTTCCATGGTTACAAGCTCAATGTCTTTAGTAAACAGAAAATAAGCAATTTAAGACTGTTCCATTAGAACTAAAAATAGAAGTGCTGCAGGCCAACCATTGTAACATAGACTTGTTAAACAGAGGCTCTGAAGAGAATTTAGAATAATCTTTGTGGGTTTGGCTAACTAATACTCATACACATTGAGTTTAAACAGTCACAATTATATTTATTAATTTGCTTGGAAGGAAATGATATAGAGTGTGTTTTGATGTGCAGATTTATAGGCTGAGCAGATATACCCAATATCTGGAAAAGGGCCTGGGCTGAGGCACGTATGGCTTTGAAGAAAACAACTTCAGTGGGTCAAATGGTTATGAGTTTTTGCAAAGGAGGATGATGAGGAGTCTCAGACTCCTTAAAAAACTATCCTGCTTTTAAATGCAAGGGTGTTTCAGCTTTTAAAATGCTTCCCACAGTGCTAAGTAATAACACTATCTCCCATTTATGTAGAAGGTTCTGCCCTCAAGTATTTACAAACCTCATTTGCATGGGAGCTAGGGATTCACATCTCTGGGGAGATGCAGAAGCTATTTAACAGTCCACAGCTTAAGAACATGGCAAAAAGAGCTAGGGTTAAAATTTAAGCTGTGTGTAGAAATATTTAGGGAATAAAAAATAGAAAAGGTTCATCTGTGGTGTAATCCATCAGGGTTCCCTTGAAGACAAAATGCACCACAGGCTACTAAGTCCACTGTAGTTCATTAGTCTGAAGTTCTTCCAAGAAGCCTGGGCTTTTTAAGAGGCATAGAATATTTACTTTGTGTGGATAACTTTAAGTGGAATTCTGCGAGTTTACCAAAATACGACAGTTGTAGTCACTGTTAGTGTTTTTCTTTATTACAGAAGCTGTTATCTGCTATGCACTTATTAGTATCTATCTCTATTGAAATGGCAATAAAGAACTAAAAAATTTAAAATAGCAAGGATGATTCTAGTGTGACTGAAAATGAAGACTGGATACTAAGAAAGAATATTGGCAAATTCAAAAGATAAGCTTTGACTTGTAGAGTTGATGGCAATAAAGAAATAATAAGAAGTAGATTGTTTATAAACAATCTTATTCAGTATTTGCACTTTAGCATCCCACTGCTCTTCATCATACTCAGCATGTTTTCCCTGTTTTGTCTCTATGCTGAATATTTTGAAAGTAAGAAATGCTTCTGATGAGCAATAAAAATGATAATGAAGCTTTTGACATTTGCATTTCTCATCAAACAGCACAGGGCAAGTGGATGATTTAATCAGAACAATTAAGAAAATTATACCTTTATAATTAATAGACTAAAGATCCATCAATATATCAGGATTTTCTCAAGATTACTATTGAGGAGTAATCATGAAATATACCTGTTTTTCTCTCTTGTCATAATCGTTGGATGTGATAGAAGAAAAGCTGGGTATTTTCTTGTCAACTTGAATTCCATGGATATAAGGACTTGTTTCCTTTTATTTAGGCCATTGTTAAGCCAACTACTTCATCTAGTTAAATTAGTGGCAAAATATCCACATGGGAAGAATAGATTTTGCTCCTATATTTGCTGTGTGAATATGATGGATGATTCTGTGGTTATGTAGTCAACGGTATGATTTCACAAGACCAGACAGACTGGTGTGAAAGAAATAACTGCCAAAATGTATAAATAAGTGATGATAAATATTTAAGAAACAAATATTTAGGTCATATTAGGTTTGTATAAGGATATATTACACCATTTGAGCAATTCTGATGAAGAAAAGCCTAAGTATCTGTCTGCTTAGTGTTTAAAGTTGACTTGCTTCAGGACTACAAAGCAGGCACATAAAACCAATTAATCTGGTTCATAAAATCTATTTAACCTTCCAGTGATGTTCTATAGAAGATTTAAAACCAGATATTTATCAGATTGCATCTTCTAGATATAACTGCATTCATTTATTTGAATTGTAAAAGCTCCATTTGTAAGCAATTTGGAGGACAAATACAATTAAGGCATTCCAAATTCTCATATAAAAAACTCTGACAAGCAAACTTAAAAAAATTACACATCCCAAACAACTATTTTGATTTAGCCTTCCTGGGAAGAAAATCTTCACAGGCCATTACATATGACAAGCTTAAAGGATCTCCGTAAAATGAGACAGTGGCATTTAGTTAATTGTCTTAATTCTGCAGAAGTCCCGTGTTCCGCACAACAGGGACTCTTCCAAATCCATCATGGTTCTACAGGATGGTTCTGCAATCCCTTTGCCCTGAATGGGTTTGACAATTGCTATCTGCATTTCACAATTAAAAAAATCAGACTCCTCCACTCAGTACAAATTTGAGGACAGGCTTCATAGGGCTAAGACTAGTTCCAACATATTTTGGAACCAATCTTGACTCCCCCAAAGCATTTATGACTTCTCAGATATTTTTTGTTACTAGAGCTGCTAAAGACAACTGACTAAGGCAGTAGAAAGAAAAAGAAGGAACATGTCCTCTGTGTGTGTATATAAATTTTTGGGCAGAGTGACCTCATACAAGAGTTTTCTAGGATTGTGATAATTTTTTATTTCTACGACCTACAAATAATCCACTCTAGGTGTCTGTACAAGCCATAGCCACTTCTGCTCATTTAAAATTGAAGGTGACAAAGAATAAATCAAAACAGAACAAAAGAAGAGCCAACAACAACTTGCCTATGAGAACAAGACCAAAGACAGTAAAAAATGGGAGGCAGAGATACTGTCCTTTTCCAGATCGATGCAGTCTTGCTTGCTGTTTGAAGACAGCTCTTAATGAGACACTTCTGCAAGATTTTATGATAATACAGGAACAAGAGAAGGAAGCTGGGTATTCTTTGCACTTTTATTAAATAGTCAGTATTTTTATTTTGGAAATAACTACTCTCTACTTCCCTCAATACAGCTCACATTTTGACATCAAAACAAATGCTAAAAATGCCTTCTCTTAGAGGCACCAATGTAAAAGTATCAATTATAGTAGAAATATAACTGAATGTATTTCATATTCAATTGTGTGCTAAACTTAGTCTTAATTCTACTACCTTTTTACTCAAAAGGAGGACAGAAAAATCTGCATAGTTCCCATTTTCTTATTAATAAGGTGAAATACTGTTTTCATAGTTTCAATTTTGACTAGTTACCATGACATTATTAGAGCCTGATCACTGTTATACTATGTAGAAACTCAAAATTCCTCTCTTAAGGAAAAGTTGAGTTCCATAAATACAAAGAACATATCAAATTACATTTTGTAATCTTGTGTCCATGTTTACTGCCTTAGTTGTCCTTTCATCATACCATGGCTTATGGGGATTGCCCAGTGTTAATAAGGACTTCCCTGGGAAAAGAAAATAGACTGAATGTGAGAGAGCATTAATGTCGAAGATCAGAAGACCTTCTCTGCCTGAGCCTATCCATCATGGAGTCTTCATCTTTGGGATGAAAAGCCAAAGCATGACTTTCTACTAACTCCTTAACTTTCCAAATCCAATATTCTCTTCCTTCCTGCTTTCCTTCCTTCCTTCCTTGTGGCCAAAAAAAAGCATCACTTTCTACTTCTTTCAACATGAGGTAGGTCTTTGAAAGTTGTTTACTCAGTTTATTCAGGTCCAAGGTAGTACTTGTCCAGGCAGAAAGTAAATGGAATTTA